ATTTATTTAAAAAAAAAAAAAAAAAGTCACTTCTTCCCACAGTAACCCATTTATTCAATGAAAGGTGTTTTATGGAAATGGATAAGCTGATTTTAAACTGTCCATTAAATATCCAAGGGCCAAGAATAGTGAAAATATTCATGAAGAACTGCTACAAGGGAGCACTTTCCCCGCTAGATACCTAAGCTTAGTATCTAGCAGGAGAAGTACTACAAACAAAACTATAGTAATTAAGACAATGGGATTTTGGTGGGTGTGGTGGTGTGGGTTAATGCATTATATCACAAAGTTACTTTGAACTACAATCTAGGCGGTTCCAGCTCATCAGCTGTTCCTACGGAAACCCTATACAGGGTTGCTATGAGTCAGAACCGACTTGACAGCACTTGACAACAACAATAGTCTTATACTACTACTATTACAACAGCTTTAGATTTGAGAGTGTCACAGCAGTCTTTATCTGTGGTCAAATAGGGCAGTACAGACTTATATGGGGTCAGAATCAGGGAGGGGTTAGGTTGCGGACCAATTTGAAGACAGGAGGGAAACCAGAGGATTGGTTCTACCCAGTAACCTGATTAACATTCTAGTTTGACTCCTGGGTGGAGATGATTGGTCCCATTCATTTTAGTTGTCTCCTGGGCAGAGAGGGCAGTGAATGTTTTTACCTTTTCCTGTTCATTACTGCATTTGCTCCTAACTGGTTTCACTCCTTCTACTCTTGCCCTCTTCCAGTATCCACTCCCAGCAGACAGTGTGATTCCTTAAAAATGTTGTATCTTGTCACCTGATAAACATCACTCAGTCAGTTCCCATTACACTTAGAATTAAATGCAAGGTCTGCATCATGACCTGAGGTCTTACATGATCTGCTCCCTGGCTACCTATGTATGCATCTTTATTTTCTACCAGACTCTCTTTCCCTCCTTCATTCTGCTCTTGCCACATTGGCCTCTCTGATGTTCTATATGCAGGTCAACCATACAACTTAAGACTCTGGATCTTTATACCTGCTAATTCCTATGCCTGAACCTTCTTCTCCAGATATCCACACACCTCACTTGCTCATTTCATTTACATCTCTTGCTCAAATAGATTTCTCTGGTAGTGGCTCTAAATAGCTCTACCACTTCCATCCTTTGCTTTGCTTCATAGCACTAATGAATATCTGAAGTTATGTTAATTATCTAATGGCTCTTCTAGACAAAGTCTGTAACTCAACAACATTTCTTCCCTGCTGGGTTTGGAAGAGAAGATGGGAGAAGATGAGAGGATGACATGATTCAGCTGTGGATGTTAACAGAGTTGATTGTAATTGTAAAAACTTGGAATTCTAGCATGGGTATCAAATTAACATCTCAGAAGCAGGAGGAGGGGTCTCATTAGCATAAAAGAAGAAGAGCCAGGACAGAAGAACATCTTTGGACCCTGAGATCCCTGTACATTGAACCTCCTCAACCCAGGGACAGAAAGCTGTGACACCAGAAGAGAGGCAGCAGCAGCAGAGCCAAGTGCCAAAGCATGTGACAGAGCAGTGGGTTTTCCAGCCCACAGAGCAAGTAAATCTGAATGACTTTGGGCAGGCGGCTTGATTAAGTGCCTCCAGACACTTAATTAGGGGAGCTAGGTTGGCCAGGTACCTTTAGGCTGAGACTTCTGGTGGAATGGTGTGTTCTGTGGGCATTTATCAGCAGCTGACTGGAACAACTGTGTCCTGAGCATTATTTGATCCTGTATTGTAATCTGTTAACTTCCCCACATGGAGTCCTGGTGTGGTGTTGCAGGTTAACATACTGGACTTACAAGGTTAGTGGTTCAAGTTTACCAGCCGTTTCTTGGAAACCCTATACAGGGTCGCTATGAGTTGGAACCGACTTGACAGCACTTAACAACAATAACTTCCCCAATAAACCCCGTAACTGTAGTACTGTCTCTGAGTTCTGTGTGGCTGTTGCAATGGGTAATTGAATGCAACAGAGCAGTAGAGTGCTGTGGGAAGGATGATCTGGTGCCATCATTTTTTGCATAAATGCAGGTAGATATTTCCTTATTGTCTCTCATCCCCTTTAGGATTTTTTTTTTTTTTTTTTTGTCATCCTTAAGTGCTGTTGAGTTGGTTCCTACTCAGCGACCCTATATAGGGTTTCTGAGGAGTGGCTGGTTGAGTTTGAACCACCAACTTTGAGGTTGAAACCGACCTTGTGATCCAGTGTTAATCTACAGCACCACAGCAGGATTCCTTTAGGATGTTTGTCGGTCAGTAAATGCTGTCAAGAAATCAAACGATGTATTGCATTAGGCAAATCTGCTGCACAAGACCTTTTTAAAGTGTTGAAGAGCAAAGATGTCAGCTTGAAGACTAAGGTGCACCTGACCCAAGCCATGGTATTTTCAATGACTTCATATGCATTCGAAAGCTGGACCGTGAATAAGGAAGACCGTAGAAGAATTGATGCATTTGAGTTATGGTGTTGGAAAATATTGAACGTGCTGCCAAAAGAACTAACAGATCTGTGTTGGAAGAAGTGCAGCCAGAGTGCTCCTTGGAGGCCAGGATGGCCAAATTTTGTCTCTCATACGTCAGACATATTGTCAGGAGGGACCAGTCGCTGGAGAAGGATATCATGTTTGGTAAGGTGGAGGGAGGGTCAGAGAAAAAGAGGAAAACCCCCAATGAGATGGATTGGCAAAGTGGCAGCATAAATGGGCTCAAGCGTGGCAACAATAGTGAGGTTGGCCCAGGATTGGGCAGTGTTTTGTTCTGCTGTGTATAAGGTCACTATGAGTTGGTACCAACTCAATGGCACCTAACAACAACAACAACAAGTGCTGTCCAATTTGTCCAGACTCATAGTGACTCGGTATAGGGTTTCTGAGGCTGATAATTTTGGACTACCAACCTTGTGGTTAGCAGCCCAGTGTTTATAGCCCCACACCAGAATATACACTGCAAGAAAACCAATTTCTATGTTTTACTCATTGTGGCACCTCAAATCCCTGGTATAATATTTGATACATAAGCAGACCATTGTTAAGTAAGACTCTATTCTAGTCTGGCTAGTTCTTAACTCAAACTCAGCAAGATCCAATAACTATCTGAATCTCAATTATGTGAGAGATACGTAACTAGAGGCTAGAGCTCAAAATCTGTACAAAATTCACCCAAAGTACAATTTAAAAAAAAAAACCAATTTAAACAAAATATGTAACACAGTCCCTGACCTGAACTGAATGGTAGTTACATTCTGAGTGGTTATTAATTGTGAGGAGGTTCACGAGAGCACCTGAAGTATTAGAAGTGTTCTTTATCTGTTGTTGTTAGGTGCTGTCAAGTTGTTTCTGACCCGTCGCGAACTAAAGTACAACAGAACACAACACTGCCCAGTCCTGCGCCATCCCCACAATTACAGCTATTCTTGAGCCAATTGCTCTTGCCACTGTGCCAGTCCATCCAGTTGGGGGTCTCCCTCTTTTTCGCTGATCCTCTACTTTACCAAGTATGATGTCCTTCTCCAGGGACTGGTCCCTCCTGATAATATGTCTGAAGTATGAAAGACGAAGTCTGGTCATCTTGGCTTCTAAGGAGCATGCTGTTTGTACTTCTTCCAACACAGATTTGTTCGTTCTTCTGGCAGTTCATAGTTCCTTGAACATTCTTTTCCAACACTGTAACTCAAATGCATCAACTCTTCTACAGTCTTCCTCATTCACTGTCCAACTTTCACACGCATATGAGGCTATTGAAAATACCATGGCTTGGGTCAGGCACACTTTTGTCCTTTGTTTAGGTGGTGATTATACCAGGGGGCTTAAAAAAGTTTGTGAAAAAAATGGAATTGAAAGATAAAGGAATTTTTTCATGAACTTCTTGAAGCCCCCTAATATTAAAGGTGGATACATAAGTACAAATTATTGAATTATATACTTAAGATTTGTGCCTTTACTGTAAAAGTTGCAGTGCACCTTGACTTAATTTTTAAGCTCCTGACCTAGCTAAACACTAACAGGTAATTTTCTGTGTGGCAAGAGCAGCAACACAAGCAGTGGGAAAGACACCTTCCCACAATCTACAGTTGACATACTCTGATAAGAAGATAATAGGAGTTCGAACATCAGATTACTTACTGTGCAGTTTAAACGGCTTTGCAGTCTGGCACATTAACATAGATCACTGTATTGCAGGATGGTGGATATAACAGTATTGGTCTCTATTTGATATTGGTTCTTCTGTGCCCCATGATCTCCTTCCCTATTTGGTTCTCAGTGCCGGTGTCCAATATGCACACTCAACAGTCAAAGATGCACATGTTGGGGACCAGAGCCCTCAGGGCAAGATTCCCTAAATGGAGCTTGAGGCCAGAGAAACAATGGGCCAGTCTTTATGCTTTAGATTTTTAACTACAGAATGAGGAGGTGTACGCAGTATCCACTTGCATTTGATGAGACTATTACAGAGTCCTAGTGTGGCGCTGTATGGAGGTCTGGTAGCATAGTGATTACGAATCAGGCGGTGAACCGCAAGGTCAGCAGTTTGAAACTACCAGCTGTTCCGCGGGAGAAAGATGAGGCTTTCTGCTCCCGTAAAGATTTACAGACTCGAAAACCCTGTACAGGGTCGCTGTGAGTTGGAACCGACTGCATGGCACATAACCACCACCACCACCAGTGTGGCGCTGTAAGATAAGCACTGGACTGCTAACCACAAGCTTGTCTGGTCCAAATCCACCAGCCGCTCCTCGGAAACTCTATATAGGATTGAGTCGGAAGTGACTCGAGAGCATTTAACAACGACCAAATTAACGACCACATTACAGGTACAGATTTGCCCTGCTGGACGTCACAATACACTGAAAGTCGCTGGGCCCGGACCACAACAGTGCGCACGCGCATCAAGAGCTGCCACCACGCAAGCGCAAGGCGGTCGGGCTCAGGACAAAGTGGGAGGAAGGTATCCCTCGGGCGCCCCTGCTCCAGGGTGCGCAGGGAGAAGGTCGCACATCATGGAACAGCGGTTAGCTGACTTTCGGGCGGCCAGAAAACGGGCCGGACTGGCGGCTGGATCCAACACTTCAAACCAGAGCTCACAAGCCTCGGGAGAGAAGGCGGAAGCAGTCCAGGGCTGGCTAAAACGGTTCTTGGCGTGGAAAGCGAGGCCGGCAAAACCCAGTGCCCAACCCAGCCACGGTCAGGTGAGAGACAGGAGACCAAACCCCTAGAACCTGCCTTCAGGACAACCGTCACGGCCTCACTGGACACTCTGGCTGAGGCCACGCCCACCACGTGACTGCACGCAAACCCCACCCCTGCCTCCGACTCCGGGAGTAGCCAGAGTTGGTGGGGGCGGGGCTACGGCTGCCACCGGCTTTTCAGGGGCGGGACTTAATGTATTCTGCCACAGGTGTCAGCACTGACACGTGGCTTTGACAGTTTGTTCCAAGATGGCGACCCACGCAGCCCATGATTCCTGGCAGGAAACTAGGGTCTCGCGTCTTGGAAGAAATTATCTCTGCCCCTGAATTATCTATCTACAACAAGTTATCATTGTGATGCCCTGTGACTTTGGGAAATCTCTTCAGATAACCATGTTGAGCCACAACCCCTTGCAAAAGGGCAAAAGGTCTAATTGATACTGATAAAAAGTGGCAGGAATTAAGGTTTCATTTGATTCACAGTTGGAACAAATGCAGCCCAAAATAACCTGTGCTCTAGAAAAGAGGGTTAAATACAAAACTTCCTAAAGAGTTTAGCTGTAACTGCCAGCGATGACTTATTCATTGCTGACTAGAGAGATTTATTAAGGGTCAAGAATGTTCCAGCAAAAAATGTTTTTTTTGGATTAGTATACAATAGCCTTTTAAAAGAACTCTGGTAGTGTAGTGGTTATGAATCGGGCTGCTAATCTCATGGTCAGTAGTTCGAAACTACCAGCTGTTCCTCGGGAGAAAGATGAGGCTTTCTGCTCCAGTTAAAGATTTACAGCCTCGGAAACCCTGTGCAGGGTCACTATGAGTCGAAACCGACTGCACGGTACTTAACAACAACATAGTAGCCTTTTAACCTGTGTGTATCATTATTTGGTATCCCTTTTATTTTGCACACGGACGTAATTCATATCTCTTTATGTCTTCGTTTTGTTTTGATTCATGAGTAAAATGAGAAGATGATTACTATGTGAGATTGAAGTGTTGGTGTTGGAATACCACACAAAACATACCAAGGGGAAAGCAGTGCTTTAAAACATCATTGAGGCCTTTGTTCCTTTTAAGTGTCATAAGAGCTAAAAAATTCCTTATCAGAATAAAAATGTGTGGGAACAAAATGCATAGCTTCCTTAAAAGCATTTCCCTTAATTTCACTTATTATTAAACAAGGTGATGTTAGGAATATTGTTTTGAGAGGAACTTATTCTTTCTTGATCTTGATTGATATCATTCTCTAAAATACCCAAGGTTCCAACTGACTTGCAGAAAAGGAAAGAGTGCAGCAGGGTTCAAACATTCCACTTCCTTGCGTGTGGTTTGTCTCAGTTGTCTTTGGATAACTTTATTGTTGATTAGAACTCACTGAGTACAACAATTGCTTAAGATTTTAGAATCCATTTCCCCTGTTTCCTACTGCAGTTAAAAACAATGTCAAACCCACACAATGAGTTTTTGACTGGATGTCTCACTTCCAAAAGAATATGAGATCATTGAGTTGGACTCAATTCGTAGTTACAGAAAATCATACCTTTGGCAATTGGTCTTAAATTGCGGAATGATTTCTCACAGCTGGTGATGGAAATGGCTCATTGGTACCCCGCCCCCTTTAAGTGTGCCATACCTGCCTTAGCCTTACCCTTGATATGCCTCTGAACAACTAAGTTGAACTTGGAAAAATCTTCCATTATTAAAACCCCAAAATCTGATAGCCTGACAAAGCTTTGAGAGGAAATGCTGGACTTCTAGTTGCTGGTGTTGTTAGGTGCCATCCAGTTGATTCTGACTCATAGCAGCCCTGTGTAGAACAGAGCAAAATACTGCCTGGTCCTGTGCCATCCTCACAGTTGTCCCTGTGTTGGAGTCCATTGTTGCAGTCATGGCTGACCTTCTACTTTACCAAGCATGATGTCTTGCAGAAATAGGTTTCTGTTGGTGACATGTCCAAAGTACATGAGACGAAGACTCATCATTTTTGGCTTCTAAGGCTCATTCTGGATACACTTCTGCCAAGACATATTTGTTTGTTATGGCAGCCCAAAGTATATTCAATATTCTTAGCCAATACCATAATTCAAATGCATGAATTCTTCAGTCTTCCTTATATTCCTATCACTGCATGCATATGAGGTGATTATAAACACCATAAGTTGACTGAAGTACACCTTAGTCCTCAGAGTGACATCTTTGCTTCTTAATAGTCTTTAGAGGTCTTTTGCAACAGATTTGCCCGATGCGATACGCTGTTTGATTTCTTGACTGCTGCTTCCATGGGTGTTGATGAACTCTTTGATAACTTAAATCTTTGCTCTGTTCATCATGATGTTGCTTATTGATACAGTTGTGAAGATTTTTGTTTTCTTTACATTGCAGTATAATCCATACTCAAGGCTATCTTTGATCTTCATCAGTAAGTGCTTCATGTCTATTTCACCATCAGCAAGCAAGGTTCTGTTGTCTACATCTTACAGATTGTTAGTGAGTCTTCCTCCAATCCTGATGCCACATTTTTCTTTATATAGTCCAACTTCTTACATTATTTGCTCAGCATACAGATTAAATAAATATGTGGAAAGGATATAACCCTGACAACATGCCTTGCCTGATTTTAGACTACGCAGTGTTACTTTGTTCTGTTTGAATGACTGCTTCTTGGTCTATGTACAGGATTCGCATGAGCACATTTAAGTGTTGTGGAATTTCTATTCTGCACAATGCTATCTATAATTTGTTATGGTTCACACGTGAATGTCTTTGCGTAGTCAGTAAAACACAGGTAAACATTTTTCTGGTAGTCTCTGCTTTCAGCCAAGACCCATCTGACATCAGCAATGATATACCTTGTTCTACATCCTCTTCTGAATCCAGCTTGAATTTCTGGCAATTCCCTGTGTCTGTACTGTTAGAACCATTTTTGGATTCTCTTCAGCATAATGTTACTTACATGTGATAATAATGATTACTATTATCCAGTGTCATCAAGCGTATTCTGACTCATAGTGGCCCTCTATAGCGTTTCTGAGACTCTTAAGTCTTTCTGTGATGGAGCAGACAGCTTCATCTCTCTCACTGTGGAGTTTGAACTGCCCAACAACTAATCCACAATACCACCAGGACTCTTTTATATTAATGATACTGTTCGATAATTTCCACATTGTGTTGGATCACTTTTCTTTGTAAAGGGCACAAATCGAATCTCTTCCTGTCAGTTGGCCCTTTAACTGTCTTTCAATTTTGTTGGCGTAGACGAGTGCTTCCAGTGTTGCATCCATTGATTGAAATATCTCAATTGGTATTCTGGCGATTCCTGGAGTTGTATTTTTCACCAGTGCCTTCAATGCAGCTTGAACTTCCTCCTTCAGTACCAGAGGTTCTTGATCACATGCTACCACCTGAAATGGTTGAATGCCAATCAATTCTTTTGGATACAATGACTGTGTATTCCATTCATCTTCTTTTGATGTTTACTGGGTTGTTCAGTATTTTACCCATAGAATCCTTCAATATTGCAAGTCAGGCGTGAATTTTCTTTTCACTTCTTTCATCTTGAGAAATGCCAAGTGAGTGTGTTCTTGCCTTTGGAGTTTCTAACTCCAGATCTTTGCACATTTCATTATACTTTGTCTTTTCCAGTCATTTGAAATCTTCTGCTCAGCTTTTACTTCATCTTTTCTTCCTTTCACTTTACCTTCTCTATGTTTAAGAGCAAGTTTCAGAGTCTCTTCTGACATTTACCTTGGTCTTGTCTTTCTTTTTTGTCTCTGTAATGAACCTTTGCTTTCTTCATGTATGATGTCCTCAATGTTATGCCACAGATCATCTAGTCTTCGGTCATTAGTGTTCAATGTGTCAAATTTACTTTTGAGATGGTATCTAAATTCAGGTGGGATATATTCAGGTTTGTAGTTTGGTTCTTCACAAGTACAACCTTGAACATATATATTGTTTTAATTTTCTTCAGCTTCAACTTGAACTTGCATATAAGCAATTGATAGTCTGTTGCTCAGTCACCCTTAGCCTTATTCTGATGAAGGTTTCAACTCATCATTTTCTCCTGTTCTTCTTATCATTCTAGGTACCCACATGCCATTTGTAAATGCCAGTCCAAAGTTGTTTCTCCTTGTCAGCCAGGACTGAATCTGCTTGAGCTGATTTGAAGCCCTGTTTTTGACTGATGATGTTGAGCTTCTCAATAGTCTCTTTTCACAGATGTAGTCAATTTGATTCCTGTATATTCCATCCAGCTAGGTATATGTATATGTTGTTGTTAAGTGTTGTTGTTGTTAAGTGCTGTCAAGTCAGTTCAACTCATAGTGAGCCTGTATAGGGTTTAAACTGCCAACCTTGTAGTTTGAAGTCCATTGCAGATCCTACAGTGCCACACCAGGAGGTACATGTGTGTAATCACTGTTTATGTTGTTCAAAAAGCATTTCCAGTATATAGATCATTGGCCTTGCAAAATTCTATCCTACAGTCTCTGGTGTTCTTTTTATCACCAAGGTCATATTTTCCAGCTACTAATTCTTTTTAATTTCTGACTTTTGCACTCCAGTCACCAGTCATTTTCAGTAATTTTCCTAATTGCATATCTGATTAATTTCCAACTGCAAGTCTTCACTTTCTTCATCTTTGGTATTAGTGGTGGGTACCTAAATTTTAATAATTGTTATATTTAACTGGTCTTGCCTGTAGGCATATGGATATTATCCTATCACTGACAACATTGTACTTCAGAATAGATCTTGAAATGTTTTGTGTGGTGATGAATAAGGCCCTTCCTCTTCAATTTGTTATTCTCAGCATAGTACATCATGTTGTTGTGAAGTGCTTGAGTTGGTTCTGACTCATAGCGACCCTGAGTAAGGTTTTCAAGGAGCGGCTGATGAGTTTGAACCACCCACCTAGCAGTTCAGAGCAACCTTGCAGTCTAGTGCTTATCCTACAATGCCATACCAGGCTTTGTGCTCCAAGTACAGCATATGATTGTCCA